TATTTTCCAAAACCGGAGCTCGAGGAAAACTGTGAGCTTAGAAGATTTTCTAAAAGTCAATCCCTGCCTAGATCCGGCTTGGGATTAACTAGCCTCCATTTGGCGCGGGAAAATGTTCGGACATTGGTCCGGGGACATCATCTGTTCCGAGAAGCGAACAGTTTTCCGAGAGCGTAGCTCGAGAAAAACTGTGAGCTTTGAGGAACAATTAATGTTCAAGAACAAATATCCGAGCATATTTTCGGGCTAAATGGAGGCTATTCAGTATTGTGTTTATTATCCTTTAAATGGTTTGCGCAACATGCGCGGTTTTGAAAATTGGGGAATATCACTCGGATATTCCCCAGTTTTAGCTGAGGACTATTCAGTTAGGTGACGCGTTTAGACCAATCGCGCGCGAGCGAAAATATGTGATGGATTATAACCTCGGATATTCTCAAGGTTCACTGCGTCATCACGTGACGTCTTAAGACCAATCACGAGCGAGTAAGATTTGACTTAATACAGCAAGAATTAAATCCCTATGAAGGAGGCTCGTAGTCCTTTGTTTTGTTTTGTTTGGGTTTTTTTTTTTGGTCTTACATAAGACTTTATTTCAAAGATAAAACATTCGATCCAATGAAAACGTTCGATGTTTGCCAAGTTGCACCAGAACGAGAACATATAGAATGGGGCGTCGGTATAAGTCATGCATATAAAATTGACTGTAAATCTCGGGCATGCTTCATTCTGACCCTAAATAGTTTGCTAAAACCACACAATGTTCATGTTCATGGTAGGTATTCAAAGGTTCAAAGGTACTGTGTAACGCGTGAATGTTTGAAACCATTGTCCACCAACTTCTACTTTGGTAGTGCATCGTCTTTCTCCACATCTTTTCATTGAAAAGTGTCAATAGCACACTTGCACGATGTCGTCATTTGACTACAACTACCAGAATTCATTTCGCTTCTCCTTTGTTATTCAAATTTTTAAACCACACGGGGGTTTAAATGACAATTGCGCAAATTAGCATGAGAAAAAGAAATCGTAAAGGATTCTGGAACTTGTAGTCAAATGACGCGATCATGCAAATCGCCTTTTAACATAGCTTTGCCTGCCGTGTCTCTTATTTCAGCTGCTATCTGTTCTTACTT